CAATGTGATCTAAGATCCTTTCTATTCATTATCATTCAAATTACTAATAGAATTTGCTGCTGAATATAGTAATCTAGTAGTTGTTATTATTAAAAATATTTTTATTAAGATACCCAATTTAGTTATTGAATAAAATTAGTATAGTAATGTGAATATGATTAATTAACATAAGGTTTGATTTGGTTCAGGTAATTTTTCAAAATGTGTTACCAAAAAGTAACCTATAATTTTCATATTTTTATATCTACTTAATACAATGAATAAACACACTACATAATATAGAACTTCATATGCACATCGAAATATTCCTTCTCTTTCAAACATAAATTCATTTGGAATCAAGGCTCTTCTCTTTAATAAGTCATTTGAAAACAATGCGAAAAGAACTGATTAAATATAATAGGCAGCTATAAAGTGAAGAGATTAAATATTTTAAAAACTTACTGATTCTGAGTCCACTATTGTTATTATATTGAATGTTATTAAGAATGCCTAATTATAAAGTTCTATACCAAATTTATAATTATGAGAGCATAATATTCCTTGTAGCAGTTCTATCTAATATAACGACCTATCTAGCCCAGGGATGTGATTTGAACATGAGTTTTCATTAGGATGAATAAAATTATTGCAACTAATAATTCTGTGAATCCTAAAATTAGCCCATATACAAAAGCCAGCTATTCATAATAAGGTTTCTGAAATTTATGAATGTAATCATTACATCATCTAATTTCTTCCAGAATATATAGAAATAAAGTCCAGCTGATATGAAAGCTACTTAAAATACACAAAGTAGCATTTTTAATTAGTTTTGCGTCATATAATATTAAATATATTTAATCACTGAGATTTATAAGGCTCTTATCTTTAAATTAACAGTATTATAATTTATTATAGGAAAATTAAATATGAGAGCTTTGTATTTACTTGTTAACTTAGTTAAGAACATAATTCTAATTATGATTTAGAATTTATGATTTTAATTATAAAAATATAAGAATTATAATTTTTTTTCTCAATTCTTGATTTAAAAATAAAATGATAATGAATATATATTAATTTTTTATTTATAAATTAATGATATAAAGTTAGTCATATCAATACCGCTATGGATCTGAACCTCTTCATGGCATAGTGAAGAGTTTAAATTTACCTATTTAATTTGAATATGTTCAAGAAATTTGCATATTTGAATAATTAATAAAATTAGTTTAGATTTCAGAAAAACTTGAAAATTATAGCAAATATTTCACAAATTCATTTAATTAATTAGAATAGCTCAAACCATTTTATTAAACTATTTCATCATCTTTTAATTAAGGAGTTGACAAGAAAAATGAAATTTGTGAACATTGTAATCATATCTAAAATTTTATTATCCATAATTAATTTAAATACTTAGAACATGATAAATTATTATCCGTATCAGACATGCTATTAGTAGAATTATTAGAGATAGTTTCAAATATGTATCCAAATATACTCTATAATAATTATCAAATTTTGTATTAATATATAGCAAGAGTTTTATCCAATAATGTTTTGTAGAATTATTATTTTAATGTTGATTTCATGATGAAGGATTTCTCACCCAATATTAAGAATGTTTAAAATATTTTAAAAGGAATTATATCAACGAATTTATCAACTTTCCATGATTTTGCATAATGTTAAGGAATATTGTATAGATACAAGGAAGATGGTAAATAATTTCCAGATAATTGTCCAGTTAGCTTGTTTCCATTATATGTATAATACTAATTTATTTTAATATTAGATAAATTATGATATTATAAATGATTTAAAGAAAAAAACTATTTTATAGTAAAAAGTAGTTGCCAAGATGGGTATGGATTTTGAATGGTATACAAGTATTTTGGGTAGATTAGCAAAACATGATGAATTCATTAGAAGAATGATTTCAATATAAGCAAAAGTAGAAAAATCATAAACAAAATGTCCATATACAATATGTATTGTTAGAAATGATTTTTTACATCATGCTTCTTTGAATTAATGGATGTAGGTAGAATATAATTGCATAGCCATAAGTTTTGGATTCATTTCAGATAGAGTTTAGAAATATCATTCTCTCTTATTTGATTCTTATTATAAGTAAATAAGAGAAAATTATAAATTATAAGTGAAATAAGATTTAAATCATGATATTATGGTTGATGCATTACATAAAGCTTATGAATTGTATAATAATAAAAATGCAATTGTTTTAATAATAACAGCAGAATTTGAAGGAAATGTATATGATTAGAGATACATTGAAAAAGGATTAGCGAAATTAGGAATATTAAGTAAAAGAACTACTTTTTTAAAATTAATTGGTAATATTACATCAGAAAATGGAATTCTAAGAGCTTTTGGATAAGAAATAGCATTAGTATATTTTAGAACTGGATATACTTTTGATTAATATGAAAATGAAGTATATATAATTATATCATTTTAGGAATGTTGGAACATAAGAGAAATGATTGAATTAAGTAAAGCACTTAAATGTCCAAGTTTAAATACATAATTAGTGAATTTTAAGAAACTTTAATAAATTTTATTAGATGAAACTTAAATTTAGAAATTCTTAAACAAAGATGAAGCTAAATTAATAAGTGAAAACTATTGTAAAATTTGGGGTTTTGATCATGAAGATTAACATGAAAAAGTAATTTGATTTATTTTAATATTATTAGTTAATTGAAATGATCAAATAGAATCCTCATGATTATGTCTTAAAACCATAAAGAGAAGGAGGAGGAAACAATTATTATGATGATTAAATAATTCCTGAATTATAAAAATTGACACCTGAATAGAGAACTGAATTTATTGTAATGGAAAGAATTAAACCTATTCCTCGTATTGGATTCATGATGAGAAGAGGATAATTAGATATTTAAGCTGTAATAAGTGAAATAAGTGTTATTGGATATTTTATAAATGATGGAGAAAAGATATTAGTGAATGAAGTAGGTGGTTATTTAGTTAGAACAAAAAGATACTTAGATAATGAAGGAGGAGTAGCAGCAGGTTATGCAGTAGTTGACTCTTTTATGGTATCTGATAGTTGATTGATGATTAATTATTAAGTAATTATTTTAATAATTGATGTTATTTCTTTAAAAGCAAACAAATATTATTATTAATAAAGATCACAACAAATCTGTCAATAGAGTTTCGAAAGTTTTAAAATTTATCTAATTTAATTAATATATATATATTATACATGAGCATGATCGTATTCACTAAAGGCTTCTTACAATTCATTTTCTCTTGATTTATAGAGATTTACTAATGTTTGTAAAAGAAGAAATTTTTTAACTGTTGCATATAGATTGAAAATGGTTTCAATATTTTGAGAAGTCAACAACTAAGTTCTATCTACTGAAATTACTAAAAACTCTTAAAAATCCATTTTATCCTTAAGGGAAAGTAAATTAAAAAGAGAATTAATTTACTCTTCTTTATCAGGATATAAAGCTAAACATTCATTCTTTGATATTTTTCCATCATAATCTACATCCAGGTTCTAAAATACCTTTTAATATTTGATCTTCTATTCTTCAAATTAATTAATAAATAATAACAATAAACATTATTGTAGAACACTTATTTTTTGTAATTTTTAATTTCTTTTCAATATTTGATCAAATTCTTCCATTTCATATGTCTTTGGTAGAAATTAATCTTTTAATGCTTCTTAAAGTGTTATTCTTTTTTCAGGAGTAATATGTAAAAACTTTTCTAAAAATTCTTTAATTTATGAATTATCAAGATGCAAATGTTTCTTTATTCTAACTTATTCTATTTCTTTAATAATATCTTAAGCATTTGTTGCCTTAAAATATCTACCACAAATAAGATTATGAGCTATCATTCCTACAGCCCAAATATCTCTTTCTTTTGTATAAATAGTTGAATCCAATGTACATTCAGGTGCTACATATTCAGCATCATGATTAGTAGGTTCATGTCTTATAAAAATACTTTAAATATCAACCAATTTAACTAAATCATTATTTCTTTCAAATGCTCCTAACCATAATGCTCCATGTATTAAATTTTTACTATGCAAATAACAAACTATCTCTATGATTTATTTTAAAATGCTAGCTTATTTTTCAGGAGATTCTAAATATGAAATTGGAACTCCCTATGCACATTCTTTTATAACTATATATTAAGATTTGTCCTCCAAAATTTCTATAACATTTGTTATATTTGGATGTTGCTAAATACATAATTATTAAGTAATATTACCAATTAACATCTCAATAATTCATCAACATAGAATTTTGTTACTTTTGTGTTTTCCAAAATATCTGCGTAATGTAATTTACCTGTCATATTATGTTGAACTAGAATACTTCCTCCAGGAATTTTAGAGAAACTATTTTTCTTAGTTTATTGAACAGAATAAAATTTAGAAAAGGCTACTTTCTTTACAGTGGCATTCATTTTAAATGTTGTTTTATGTTTACATGTTCTTACCTGATCTTACTCAAGATTTTTTAAATCAACCATAGGAGTTGAAAATCTACTTTTAAGAGCCTAATCACTTGATGCACTATTGAATTGAAATTGCTAACTTCTTAAAGATTGTCTTTATGAACTTGCTGGTGTCTTTTTCTCTACAATAGCACTTTTGGGTTGATAATTTTATGATTTTCTTGAATTTTCAAGATTATCATTGTTAGGGATTTGGATTTCAAGATTTGGTTTTTTTTATTATGTTTTTTTGGTTCCTTGACAAGTTCCCATTAATATTATTATTTTAAGAAATTAGCATAATTAATATCTTAAATAAAAGAATTTTAGGTTGAATTAGAAAATGTAAAAGTTAAATTAATGTGACATATCGGTGTATATTTTACTACATTTTTATGGATTATATATATTATAGTGTTTATAATAATAATAAATTATTAATATAAATTAATATAAATAAAACAATAACAATCTAAAGATGAATTATAATACACAACAATTCACCAACTTTGTATGATTTTTCTTATATGATCATGTTCCTTTATTTTTTTTTCAAGTAATGCCTTTGCAAGTTCCATAAGATGAAAATATTATTGAAAATTAAATTCAGGATGTTTATTTTTAACTAATTTAACAGCCCAACTATCAAATAAAAGAAGAACATCAGAAATATCACTAATAGCAAATGTATTTGTATAAAGATTGCGATTTTTGGGTTATCCAGGAAAAGCCAATATTAAATGAAGTAATGTTACACCTAAAGCATAAAATTCATCCATTTTATCATATTCCTTATTAATTTATGAATTTGCTGTTGCATAACCACTAGTGCCTGAATTAATAGTATTTCTTGATTTAATAGAATTGAGATCTTAGTCATTTAGTTTTTCATCTGTTATAATAGATAATTTGGATTCCCTTACATCTTTTCCTTAATCAAAATCAGCTAACATAACTTAAAGTTAACAATCAATTCCATATGTAACAAATATATTTTCAGGTTTAAGATCTCTATGTACAATACCTCTTTTGTGTATATATTCTAATCCATCCATAATTTACAACATAATTGTTTTGATTTATTCTATTTTTTCTTTACAATTCATTGGATTTAGATAATAATAAGCATAATTGAGTAAATCATTAGTTTAATGTTTAAGTCCAGGATAAGAACAATATTCAGACATCAAATAAAGTGAATAGCCTGATTCTTCTTCTTCTATCCACCAATCATAAAGAGTTAGAACATTTGGATGGTTGAGTTTAGATAAAATTTTAGCTTCTCTAATTTTTCTTTAATCATTTGTAATTTCTGATAGATTTACTGTCGAAAATACATCAAAAAAGGAAATTACATTTGAAGCTAATTAAGACTATATAATAGAAATTAATTAATTATACTTTTTTAACTGCATAAATTTGATCATCTTTTATTCTATAAACAAAAAAGATTTGAACTCCAGATTTAAGTTCATTTTCATTTGTTTTTTGTAAGATTAGGAATTACTTTTTAAAGTAATCTTTTTTAATAAATTCTTATTTAAGCCAATTACTTTGATGACATAGAGGTAAACTTCTTTTTAATTAATTTTCTACTTCACATTCATTTTAGGATATTGTCTTTGAACCTGCACTATTTTGTTTAAATTACTCTTTTTCTGATTTCTATTTAGTCAATATAGGTGATGTGAATTCTGGACTTGATTTGCTGGATTTGTTCCGTTCATCAATTGAAAAATAATTGGCTATAATTTTTAGATCTTCTTTATTAAAATTCAAATTTATCTATCTATTGTCTAAACAACTTGATATAGATTAATGGACATAGATGAATATTGTTGATTTTAATTACCCTGTTGATGTAATAAAACCAATATTCATATCTGAATAGAAAAGTCTCATCAATTATTATTGTTCTTTCTAATATCATAATCATTGATACTTGCCATTGTTCTTTATCTTAAATTTTCTAAGCTTTTATTAGAATCTTTTATACACCCTTGTACATTGCTTTTTCCATCAAAAATTAAAGATGCGGATCTTATTCACTTATATATTTATCCTTTCTAATCTAACAGATAACAATAAACTCTGAAAATATATTTTTCTCTTCTGAACTTAAAAATTCTAATTTATTTCTATAATCCAATTCCTAATTCAATTGATATTAATACTTACCAACAAAGCTTCCAACCCTCCCTATTCCTACCTATCTACTACAGTATTAGAGAATCTTTTATCATCATCTGTCTATTCATTTATGAATGTTTAATCTCCTTCTGTGAATTTTTGATCATCTTCTTAATTGAGATGCTCTCCTTAATTCATATTATTATAATTTAAATTATTAAATGTCTGAAAATCAAGATAACAAAATTGAATTATATTGTTGGATATCCTCATAAATATTAATTGTTGTTTTGGCAATTATATTAGGTTGTTGTCATTATATTGAAAGACGCAAATTCAAAAACAAAGTATAAAATCTTTTGAGAAATTTAGTTGCTTGATTTTAGCGATATCAGAGATACACATCAATACAAATATAACCAAATAGATCCAATATTAGCACCACTTAATGGATGAATGAATAAAATAACATGACTTTTATGTTATATTTCATTATTATAAAAGTAAAATATTTCTTGCGTGATTTATAACAAGATATAGAATATATTTATTATAAAATTCATATACATTGGTTTATATCATAATTATTATTAATATTTAACCATATGTAAAGATACTCACATCTTTCAGTTGATGTTAATAACATTCTCACAATCTTTTAATCATTTATTAATCCATTCTATTCTAATTATATGTGTAAGTTATCAATAAATATAGTCTAATTTAGATATTACAAATGGTTAAAAAGGGAGGTTGGATTTGAATTTAATATTAATAATAATATATTCGAATGGCTAGCAAATTTTCAGGAATGTTTTGGACTTGGGTGCATTCTTCAACTGGCCCTAAAACTACACATTTTTGGGCTCCAGTCTGCAATTGGTTTTTCCCAATTTAAGCCTTATATGATTGGAATAGAGATCCTGCTAAAATTAGCAAAGAAATGCAATGTGTTTTAGTTTGTATAAATATCTTCAATAATTAGGTTATTCATCATTATTTATGAGATGGGCACTAAGAATATCTCCTCAAAGCTACATTCTATTTTGCATGCATCTGTTTAATGCTACTCTATAGGGAAGATTATTAATTAGAAGATTAATGTGGGAATCAAGTTAATAAAAAGCCATAGAAGACAAACCAACTAATTGATTGTCTATTTAGAGAATTTCATATATAAATAAATATTATATATATATATATAAATAAATAAATAAAATAATGCAAACTGATTTAGACAAATCAATAGAAAAATTAAAGAATGGAGAATTATTGAAAGAAAAAGATGTAAAATAATTATGTGCAAAAATAAGAGAAATCTTTATTGAAGAAGGAAATGTTTAAAGAATTGATCCTCCAGTTATTGTAGTAGGAGATATTCATGGATAATTATATGATTTATTTGAAATTTTCAAATAATCAGGAGAAGTTGGAGATTAAAATTATCTATTCTTAGGTGATTATGTTAATAGAGGATTTCATAGTATAGAATCAATTTGTTTACTTTATGCATTAAAAATAAAAAATCCTGATAAAATTACATTATTAAGAGGTAATCATGAATCTAGAATTCTTACTTAAACATTTGGATTATATGATGAAGCTATGAGAAAATATGGTTCATTAAATATTTGGAGATATTTAACTGAATCTTTTGATTATATGCCATTATCTGCATTAATTGATGAGAAAATATGGTGTGTACATGGTGGAATAGCTTAAGATGCTAAATTATTAGATGATGTATAATATTATTGTTATAAAATATATTAGGTAAGAGCATTAAATAGATTATCAGAGATTCCAGATAATGGTGAAATGTGTGAATTACTTTGGAATGATCCAAATGAATAAGAATTAAAAGGATTTGGTGAAAGTAAAAGAGGAGTAGGTAAAGAATTTGGTTAAGATGTGTTTACATAATTCTTATAAACTAATAATTTAAGTTGTGTACTAAGAGCACATTAAGTAATAATGGAAGGGTATCGTAGTATATACAAAGATTAATTAAAAACTATCTTCTCTGCTCCTAATTATTGTTATAGATGTGGTAATTCAGGAGCTGTTTGTGAAGTTAGTGATAAATTGGAGATGAGAGCTAAAATATTTTAAGCAAGTGAAAATTAAATGAAAAATGCATAAACAAAGATATGGAATTAGAATCCAGATTATTTTTTATGAATTCTATATATTTATTTATCTAAAAATTAAGAATGTCAATCTCTTATTTTGATATTTTTATTTTTAGAAAACTAATTACTGATCAAAATATATTTAAATACTTAATTCTGAATAAATTCTGATTTGATTCTATAAATATTAAATATTTTACAATCAAGATCATTAATATAATATTCCTATTTTCAATGCCACCAAAAAAATAAACTGCTAAAATTACAAATTCACCTCCACCAGCAACTAGAGCAACTAGATCTAAAAAGATTGATAAAGCAGAGGATAAAAAATAGTATTAATCATTTATAGCATTTCTAGAGATATAATTGATAAAGCTGTAAAAGATATATCAAAATCAAAAGATAAAGATGTAAAAACCAATCATTCACCACAAAAAGATTCAAAAAAATCAACTTCTCCATCTCCAATTAAAAATATTTAAGATGGTCAAAAGAAAGATGATACTTCAAACATAATTAAAAGTAAAATAAGTGCACCTGTAGATGAATATTTTGATGATTAAGAAAATTATGAAGTATTTGAAGAGAATGGTAAAATTTATGATTGCATGATGAATTAAACAAATATTATGGGTGATAATAATAACAACAAATTTTATGTTGTTTAATTGTTAAAAAAGAAAGATAAAGGTAATATATCATTTGTATATTTTTAGACTTTTTTTATTTATATACAAGATGGGGTAGAATAGGTGTTGAAGGTTAATCAGCAAAATAATCTTATTTAAAAGCTGAATCTGCAAAAAAAGGTTATGAGAGTAAAGTGAGATAAAAAAGTGTAAAAGGTGAATATAGAGTTTTGGAAAGGGATTATAGTGGAGAACAAGATCCAAAAGAATTAGAGAGATTGGAGAAACTTAGAGAAGATAAAGAGAAGGAATCATATAATAAAAGCAATTTACATTAAAAAATAAAAGATTTAGTTAGATTAATTTTTGATATGAAGATGATTAATAATTAGATGAAAGAGTATTATTATTCTATATATATTTAATTAGTATTGGTTATGATGCTAAAAAAACACCTTTAGGAAAATTAGCTGCTTCAACTATAAAGAAAGGATTTGATGTTCTTAAACAAATATCAGAGGAATTATAAAATAAAATTCCAGATTAAGTAGTTTTACAAAGACTTTCAAGTGAATTTTATAGTTAAATACCTCATGATTTTGGATATTTAAGAGCTCCTGTTATTGATACTCCTTAAATGGTTAAAAATAAATTAGATATGTTGGAATCAATTTAACACATATAAATTGCTACAAAAATTTTAGAAGAAAATTCAGATGATTCAAATGCTATTGATGAAAATTTCAAAAAATTAGGAATAAATATGTAATTCTTAGAACCTACAGATGAAAAAGTCTAGACTATTAAATAATTTGTAGCAAACACACATTGTGATACTCATAGAGAATATGGATTAGAAGTCCTTGATGTTTTTGAATTGTAAAAAGATCAAGATGATAATCGATTCAAAAAAGATTTAGGCAATAGAATGTTACTATGGCATGGTTCAAGACTTACAAATTTTGTAGGCATTCTAAGTTAAGGATTAAGGATTGCACCTCCAGAAGCTCCAGTTACTGGTTATATGTTTGGAAAAGTAATTTTTAAGTTTTATAATTATAGGGTGTTTACTTTGCAGATATGGTTTCTAAATCAGCTAATTATTGTGCAGTTTCAAGATAAAATAATACAGGATTGATATTATTATGTGATGTAGCATTGGGAAATCCAAATGAGAAGTTTTATTCAGATTATTATGCTAACTAATTACCTGAAGGTAAACACAGTACTTGGGGAAGAGGTAGAACAATGCCTCCTCCATCTGAAAACATTCCATTCCCAGGTATGCCAGAAGTCAAAGTACCTATTGGAAAAGGAGTTGCTTCTGGTGTTCCTAATGTAATAATATATCTTATTTATTTAGACATCTTTATTGTATAATGAATTTATTGTTTATGATGTTGCTTAAATAAGATTGAAGTATTTAATCAAGATGAAATGGAATTACAAATGAGATCTTGTGTGTATTTTATTAATTAAATTTAACAAATGTTATAAATATTTTTTGTAATTAACATACTATTTGCAAGAAGAGTAAATGAATTAGGTTAATTATTAACAAGAGATTAATTACCAGTTGGAGTCATTTTGACAATATCCTATGATAAATTATAGGTTGTTTGTAATGAAAAAGGATATTTCCTCTTAAAGTAAGAGAAGTTTGAAGTTGATGTGCTTGGTTTATTCAAATAGACATTTTATCCAAGTCCTCTTTAAAATACATTCATCATTGATAATAACCAAACTGCAATAATTTAAATAAGTGGATTTGTTAATCAACCAGCCAATCTTACTTTAAATGTAAATTAACCTCTGAATTTGAAATAAAGAGAATATGAAATTAAAGGATAATTCACTTTTTAAATAGATATTATGAAATTGCTGGTTTATTCAGCTAAGGTATTAGTATCTGCTGACTCTTTCAAAAACAATTCATAAGTGATTTATCTCTATGGTTCATATCAATATGATTTAGGAATTATTGAACTAATTCCTGTAGAAATAGATGTTAAACTAAAATTTAATTTCAATTTCGATACTGAATGTTATTTAATGTGTACCAAATATAATGGTAAATTGTATGTTTTATAAAATCATACATAAGAGGATAAAATAGAATTTAATGGAAAATTATTTGATGAATGGCCATAGTAGTGTCTTTTATATTCTGATATTGGATAAGCAAAATTATTAGAATTGGATGGACCAATATCAGATTTAACCAGACATCATTTATGAAGAATGTTAGAAGTTATAATATATTAATAATATAAAAAAATATGATGACTGGAAATATAAACCCAGAATATCGGTATCTCAGTATTCTTGCTAAAACTTGGAATGAAGTGTATATGGCTGAAAATCTTTAGACAAAACAAAAATGTTGTATAAAACAAGTGTTGATTGATGAGTTATTGAGAGAGAGGTTTTAATCTGAGATTTAGATCCTACAAAAAATAAAAGCTTATCCACATCCAAATATAATATCTTTTGAGGATAGCTTCTATTATGAGAAGGTGACTACACAGGATAAAGTACTCATTTATCTCTTAAATGCAGGCAATCACCTTTGGTTGTATTGTCATGGAATTAGGCATTACAAATTTATAGCAATACATCTAATCGAAAAAGTAATCAGATCCAGAGTTCAGGTTTCAAGAGTATGAAGTAGCTGATTTCTTTGTGACTATGATTAAAGCACATTCACATTTACAAGAAATTAAAATAGCACATAGAGATATTAAACCAGAAAATATTATTCTTTTCAATGATGAAAATCTATTGTTTAAGGTTTGCGATGTAATATTCTTAATATAAGACAGGTTGGTTTTGGTACTGAAATTATTGATGAAGAATAAAGATCAAGAACTATTGGTGGCACAGTTTTATATTAAGCTCCAGAAGTCTATCGAGCATTTAAAAGAAGAAAACATTAAGCTAAATATAATCCTTATAAAAGTGATGTTTTTTCTCTTGGATTAGTTTTCCTATTGTTTGCTACTACTCATAATATGACAAAACAGGTATAATATTCAATTTTCATATTAGTAAAGAGAAGAATTATTTGATGATGAAATGAAACTATACAATTATTTAAGAGAAAAACGAAAACAAGTTAAAGAATTATATCCTAGAATCAAAGGAGTATCAAAAATTTTGAAATTGATGTTAGATATATCTCCAGATTAAAGATATGATTTTTCATAATTAAGTCAAATTATTGAAGAAAGATAATATTTGGAAGTTAAATCTGTATATATAATTATTATGATTTAAATAGCCTGCTAAAATCAATCATAAACATCTATAATCAATTGTTAATTTGGATGATTTCTAATTAGATATTAAAAATAAGGAGGATGTATATTTGGATTTAAATGGAATGTAAAATAAATCATAGGATGAATTACTTAAATTCTTAGAAACTATAGCTTAACAAGTTAAAAATTTTTAAATGATTACATTATAAATAAAATTAGAAATGAGTTGTTTAAATGTAAGAACAGTGGCTCCAATTGAAAAAATATTAAATAGAGCATAAAAATTGAAAGAATTATAATTACATTTATGGAAGTATTATGATAAATTCTATTTGTAGTAATAAATTAGGTAATTTGGGATTGTTATTTTTAACAAAGGCAATAATGAAAATGAGTGAATTGAAACGATTAACATTAGAAATATCTAATAATTTATTATCTGATGAAGGGATTAATAATTCATTACCCCTATTAGAAGGATTAGTTCAGATGGAAGAATTGAAATTGGATTTCGGATTGTATTAGTTCTTCTAAATTAATTAAGAAATTATTTACCAATGGATTGTTGTGAAGCATTTTTTTCGCTTATAAGTGCCATGCCAAAACTAAAAAAGCTAGATTTAAGTCTCGAAAGTAATTATATGAATTAAGTGCTTTCAAAATTATTAAAGTAAACTGTAAAACGATTACCACTCTTAAATTAATTATCAATTAATTTTTCTAAGTATTTATTATAATCTAATATAAGTATTCCAATGCATAATGAAGGTTTTTATGATCTTGGTGAAAGTATATCTGAATTAGAGAATTGTGAATTATTTCTTTGGGGTTCTTAAATCAAAGATTTTGGTGTTGAGGAATTTGCTAAAGGATTATCTAAATGTGAGAAAATAAAGCATTTAAATTTGACTTTATGGAATAATCAAATTACAAAAAAGGGATGTGAATCTTTAGGTTAAGTTTTACCAAAATTAAAGAAATTAAGTTCATTAACAATTGATTTATCCAAAAATCGTATAGAGGATGAAGGTGTAAGGTTCTTGGCAAAAGCTATTCATGAAATGTAGTAACCATTAAGAGTATTATAATTTTGGATTGAGAAGTGAGTTTAATAAATTAAAACATAGTGTATCTTGTTCTTCTTTTGGATTGAGATATGTCAATAGATTTTTGGTAACATAAACAAAATTGAGAAATATCAGTTTGAATTTTCGATCAAATTAAATTGGTTTGGATGGAATGGAGTTACTGTATAATGGCTTTGGTTAAGCTACTTAGTTAGAAACAGTAAATTTGATTCTTGATCAGTAATTAATTTATATAAAATTAGTAATCCATTAGGTGATGATGGTGTAAATACTTTGTTTAAGGGTTTATGTAAATTGAAAGAGTTATAGAGCCTATTTTTAAGTCTTGAGAGTGTTTAAGGTTCTGGAAATTCAGTGACTGTAATGTTGTCTTCAATAAAATCTTGGACTGAATTAAAAGAATTACATGTTAATTTCTTAAAGTATATATAATATATATAAATATTAGAAATGATACTGATTTGGCAGATGATATTAATTTGAAGAATCGACTATTAGAAATATAATCAACTGCAAAAATAAATATTGAATTAAAAACTATAAATTAATAATAAAAGTGATTAATGATCTTACGATATTTGAATCTATTAATTTATAATTAACGACATATATTTGAATTTTTAATATGAATATTAGAATTTTAATTAATTAAATTTCAAATAATACAGAAGAATTAGCAATGGTTTAAAAAATTTTATAAGTCTTTATTAGTCTAGAGGAGCACCAAAAAATTAAGTACTTTATGATGGAGATAAAAGGAACTCTATCAGAACATACAACGGTAACTTTTATTAATTTAATATTATCAGATAACTCAAACAACAGATAAGGATTCCAAATTGGATGGGACATTGATCAATCTAGAAAGGGAGACACTAAAATTGCAGGAAAAGTTGGTCAAGATCAAAGAAATTCATACATTCCTTCATATCAAACTTAAACTTATGTACCAGTTGTTGAAGTATTCTATAACATAATTAGTAAAATCAAGATGAAGATTATTTGAAGTAGTTATATATTTAAGAAATGAACAAAAAAAAAGAGTTAGCTACCTTATATAAACAACCTGATTAATATTACTAGGATACTTTAGATTGTTATAATAATAATGGAAAATAATACTCAGATAATTATCCTCCTAATACTTATGAATAACCATAATTGTTATAATAATCAAACAAATATGATCATTATTAATAACCCAAAGTAGAAGAAGAACTCTATAATAAAGTATCTTTTTTTATAATAATATATTTAGTATAAATAAGGTAATAGTGGTAGTAAATAATAGAATACTGGTAAACAACCAGTTGCTTAATTTAATCCAATTACAGGAGTGGCTTATGAGAATGCTTATACTAATCAAAGAGTTTAAGAATCTTAATAATAATAATAATAATAGGATGATGCACTTAGTTAATTTAGTTAATGTATTGAAATATTGTTATCATATTTTAGTATAATAACATAAAGTAACTTCAATGAAGAATAAGACTTCAAATATCTTTAATACTGATATTCAAGAGACTGAGAATATTAATATTAATAGACAAAATAGTAGAGTTTAAAATAAAAGAAAAGAGTTAGATGATGCTCAATATAAAGGATATGGTATGATATTTGAAATGATATAATTTTTTAGGTTAGTTCTACAAGAATCAAATTGAAGTAATTCCAACCTAATATAGAGAACAAAAGTTCATTAATAGAAATATGATTGACAATCAGATATTTCCAAAATGATTTTATAATTACATAATAATTATATAAATTAATTTAACACGTATAGTGTGAATATAAAATTGCAAAATGATTATGTGAGAATTCAATATTAAATTTAAAATGAGTTAAGAAACTTTGAATGGAATCAATGGAATATTATAGGATGTCTAAAGTTTTGGTTAAGAAAGTTATAGATTTATTAGAAAATGCACAAAACCAGATAAAAGAGGTAAATTAATATACAATTACAAAAATAGAGTATATTAAAATTGCATCATCATGTGCTATTGGTTTTGTTGTTATGGGTGCTGTTGGATACTTTATTAAGTTGGTTTTCATTCCAATAAATAATATAATATTAAGTGCCAATTGATTTTTGTTACATTTACATTTTATCATAAATATACATATAATATAACAATAATGCAATCATTTATCAATCAATTAAAATAAGCAAATATTTAATAGTTAGTAAGTTAAGAGACTTTCCAAAAAATTCCTATTGAATTAAAAGCAATTAGATTAACTTATGAGATTGAACATAATTCAGGAGCACTTTTAGAAATCTTTAAATGTATAGATAGAGATAATGATGTAATAAAATAGGCAATTAAGATTGCTAATTTAAATTAATTTGATAATGAAGAGATTGTTAAAAATATAAGAATTGAATAATTTTAATATAAGTAGAAATTGAAGCAGATTCAATAAAAATATATACTAAAAATGGGATTAATCTTATATGGAGTATTATTAAGTTTACATTTTGGAATTCAAGGTTGGTATTATTTGGAATATGATTTATGGTTATCAAATCCAGGAATTTCAGAATATCATACAAATAGATTTCGTTGAAATACATTTATATTTGAACAAACAATAAATTTATCACCAATGTGCTTCTTCTTTCAATTAAGCTACAGCATCATCTACTAATTCATTAAATTAATCTTCATTCTTAATCATATCGAGGATTTCATCAACTGTATAATTAGAAGGATCTGAAAGTACTTCACTAACCTTCTTCCAATGAGATTCTATATCTTAATTTAATTTTGTTTTTATTCTATAATACAACATCATTCTAAATATTATTAATTTAAATGATTACTATAATTATTTCAATTGCTCTTCTTCTGGTTTCGCCTTGAAATTTTCTAAATTATTCAATAATTCGACTAAATCTTATCTCTTATTGAATGCAACAGTTTAAACTGGAGCTAAATCAGTAATCTATTATAAAGGAGGTGGTAATGGAGTTTATCTAATTGGATTTGGATATTATTATTGATATGGTCTTCTCATTCCACCATTTGGAATTCTTTATTACATAGGGAATGGGAATGGCATTCTATTACCAAATTAAGCTGGTCCTGCAGGCATTTAATACATTCTTCTAATTGGAGATTATCTTTAATTAGTTCTTCTTTATCCTCTTTATTATGATTATTAAGGAAAAAGATGTTGAAAGTATTTTCCACCAGCTTACTCAACATTTTAATCAAAAAGATTTTTTATTTCATCAAATTTTTCATTCTCTTTGAAAGATTTGATCAATTTATTTGCATCTTATGCTTATTCAAATACAATATATCCAATTCTAATGATTTATTAAAATCCTTATTGCATCTTTTCTAATCTAATCTATTAAAGAATAAAAATAGTATATAATACCATACTAATATCACCATAACCAGCATCTTTTAATGTTTATCTAATCATTTCCTCTGTAACATTTCTATTCAAATGATCAGCATAAATATATTTTGAATAGATATTATTATCTCTTTATTATTTTCTATCTGTTTTTGTTTATGCCCAACCTACATACATCTTTCTTCCAGTATTCAAAGGATCCTTTTATTGATTTGCTCCTAAACTAGTACCTAATGTTCTTTATGCTTCTTTGGCATCTTGATGTCTACTAAAACTGACAAAAGCAAATGGAGCTTTACGTTCAGGATCAACTTTGACTAATATACTAATTATTGGACCATAAGTGCTGAACCATTCATTCAATTTATTACGCATATCAGTTTCCTTTTATAAATATTTGATTATTCATACTAATTATTCTTTAACTTAATTGTCTTCTAAATCTATACCATCTAATGAAGTCCAAAAGTTCTTGATATATAAATTACATCTCTTATCTTCACGTTCATTTGTACCTTTCTTTATAAATCTTTTAACAATAATTTAAGTCTTTTCATTATATTAAACTTTTCCTTCATTTTATTAACTTTCAATTAACAAAGCATTAGCTTAATCTTTCTTTTCATATTAAACCCAACCATAACCTTAATAATAATTTAAGAATTTTAATTACCTCTACTCTTTTTATTTTCATCAACTGATAATTTGACACTTACTACTTATCCCCATTTTGTAAAGAATTCCTCTAATTATTTAAGTGTTATATTCAACTCAAATCCTGCAAAAAATAAGTTTGCATCTTTCTCATAATCTTAAATGTAAGTAATGCGCATAGGATCTCTGAGAAGCTATTTGTAATTCATTGCCTCTTTTGCTTTCCTTGCTTCTTCTTATGATGAAAAATATATGAATGCATAATGCTTTGATTTCCCAATGAATTGATATCTAATTATAGTCTAATCATATACCTGTGTAATTTAACATAGCTAATTTATCCAAACTTTCTAAACTCCACAAATAGTTGTTCCTCTGTAATCCCATCTTCCAAATCAGATATATGAAGTCCATTTTGGGATGGTCTGTTTTGATCCTAATAGCCTGGTAACTTAAACACTATATCAATAAAACTAAAGATGGTACTTTATTATGGATTTAATAATCAAGATTTAAAAATTCTTTTAATTTTTTGGACATGTGTTTTTATCTGATATTACATAAAAACAAATTGCATCAAGTAAATGAGAATTGATAGTTATATTTTTTTATCTAAGTGGAAATATTATTGATGAGAATTAAATTAATCAATAAATTTCTAAAAGAGATTGAATCCACTTTTTGGAAGTACATTACTCTTGTTTAATAGTAACAATATATTTATCTGATTTGATTTTAAGAGCACTATCTAATTCGTAATCACTTTCTTTTGTTGCAATGCCATTAGATTCAAATTATTTAGTATTACAATTCTCAATGATTTCAGAAGAGATTTTATTTTTTGAAATCTACATCTTTTTTGGTTCATATAATTTAGCAAATGGATATATAAGTACATCTAAAAACACATTAGAAATCTTAAGTAGAATCAAATCTATCAAATATATGCTTGAAACACTCTAAAATATAGTAATAATTCTTACATTTATAATTTCAGTTATTATATTACAACATATGAATAGTTCACAAAAAATATAGAAACCTATTATTATATGTAATTCATTCTAGAGTTTTCCTTTTGGATTTGCATGACATAACAGACATAAAATCATAGTAATCAATCCAACTCCACCTGATCCTAATATAGCAATTGCTCTACTCAAACTGAATTAATTTTCAAAAATCCTATCTTTATTGTGTTAATTAATACCAAATGTAAAGTGAAAGAAAATCAATTAAAAATCCAATCAAGTATATTTAAATTACTATTCCAACTCCAATCTTATTTTTATTCAACACTAATAATGACATAAGCAAACAGGAAGATAATTACTAAAGGATAATCAAAATAAGATAATAATGATCAAATTTTTGTACTGTCAAAAGAATAGACAGAGCTGAAAAAGAGCATGCTAAACCAAAAAGATGAGGTTTTCTCATTTAAAATCTATGTCTTATAAAAATCATCACCATAAGAGTCAAACTAATTAAGAATTGAATGATATCCAAGACAATGATTGACCATTCTTATGATAAACTATGTTTAATAGTAATTATACCTTGAAATTCGTGTAATTAGATAAACTTGAGAAATAATGTTAGTTGAAATGTAAAACTATGGTAGAGCATAATGACATATAGTTTACATGATTGTAAAACTGAAAATAAATAATTTAATATGAATGATAAGATTTTAAAAACAGCACCAAACCATACTTATTTTTATTATAATTTTCATTATGGTTTGCTCATACCTAGAATAACTTCACGAGCATAAGCAGTCTACCCTATTCCTGCATCATTCAAAGCAACTTATAATCGATATCTCATATCTGACATTAATTAATTGATATTAAATCCTGTAACATTAGACTTTGCACAATATTTAATATGATTACTAAAGGAATTTTATCAGCTTTATCGTATTTTGTTTATTTTCTCAATTATCTAGTCTCAGTTTCACTAATTAATCTCTAAAAATCTTTATCAACATTTGGTCTGATACTGTATCTATTAATTGCATCCTCTATTCTTTAAGCTTTTAATTCAGGTTCCAATTTCTTAATTTCTTATTTTAATTTTTTATCCTCTCTTTTTCCTACTTCTTTTTCTTATCTTTATTATACTCTTGGTTTTGCTTATTCAATTTATTGTAATTATTATTTCTTTACTATTTCTGCTTATTATTATTATTATATTAAAAATTATTATCTCTTTTATTCCTTTTCTGCCTGATAAGATAGAGCAATCTCTGCAATTTCAGCTTTATGTTTTAACCATTCATCATGTTTTGCTTAATCTAATTATTCTTATTATTCTCTCTCCTCTTCTTTTTATTATTATAAAATTTATTATTTCTTTTCATATTCAATACGTCTATAATAATTAATAATATATACTTCTCTTCTAATTCTTCTGCTATTCTAATTCTTTATTGTTTTAATTATAAATATTCCATCCATCTTTAATTTTTTTAAATTTTGTTTTATTACATATCATTTAATAATTATTCTGATTTATTTTGTAATTACTTAAACTTATATAAATATATTACTGAATATTCAATCTTCCAATTACGTTATAAAATTATCAATCTCTTATTTATATCTTTTTATTTTCTAATATAATCTACAGCTTCTTATAATTCAGGACGACTCTTTTTTGGGAAATGAAGCATTAATCTTTACATACTATGTAAACTATTTGAAGATCCCAAATATAACATTTCTTCACTTACTTCTATTCTCTCTTTTGGAGTAAGTTTCTATATTTCTAATTGATATCTCTCATAAAGATACTCTAAAGCCTTGGCATAATTTTCAAGAATCTGTAATTCTTCATCATCACAATTTTAAGCATATAAGATCAATTCTAAATGGTTTGATTTAAATTACAATACTGTCATTTAAATATTCTTATTCTATTTTAGCTCGAAATGAATTGCATATAGCCACATTACATTATTGCATATCTAAGGTTTCTTCATTCTCTTCATCAACTATTGTAGATTCTTTTTAATATTCTATTTCCAATTTAGAAATCATTTATTGTAAATAATCTTTAAATGAAAATGCCAATTCTTTAAATTAAGAGGATTCATTATTAATTTTCTTATCTAATCTAGGTAATTATTCTTTTTTCAATTAAAGTTGAATCTTCTTTAAATTTTGTAATTAATAAATCAATTCCTCTTTTACTTATTTGTAATTTTGTGCTCCTTATTCCAATAAAGCAGCTAAACAAAATTTAGGTAATTCAGATTAAATCTCTAAAAGAAGTAATTTTGATTCCAAATCAATATTAAGCATTCTCTCTACTTTCATCAATTACAAATATTCTTTCGACCATTCTTATCTTTAAACTGATTGAACATTCTTATTTTTCATATCCTTAGATACCTATTAACTTCAATTGATAAAGATACTTTTTTTATTTAATTCAATTTAGCTAAGAATTCTTTACTTCTCTCTTCTTCCTCTTCAAATTATTTCTGTAACATATTTATATTTATATATATTTATAATTTCATGTTCTTAATTTTAGAAACATCCTCTTAATCATTCTGGCTTCATATGATACTGTGTGTTTCTCATCAAGTTATTCTAATGGATTAATTACCTATATATATATATTGTAAATATAATACAGAGGGTATTGCTTTGCCATATTAATCAGCTGCATCTAGAAAATCCAAGATCTCACTATATGATGTATCTTTTAGAATTATCATATGTTTAGCTAAGACTTCAATCAAAGCAACAAAACATCTTTTAGCATAATACCATGTATCTGTATTAATCTATAATAAATATAATTTATTTACTTTCTTATTATATGGTTCAAGTGATTTGATAACTCTAGAAATACCAAATTCATAATTATTTTTTGAACAATAAAGTGTTCCTATAACTAAATTGACTATGCATAAATGATAAACTGGTTTCTCAGGATCTTAATATTATGATTTCTCTTCTTCTTTTTCTAATTTACGCATCAATTCTTCAGCATCTTCATTTTAATTGACCATAATATAACTTACACATAAATTAGCAATAACTATTGCTGTTAATGACAATAAATTATCACTATTTTTTTTTACTATAGGTTCATAATAACGAATAGCCTCTCTATATTTATTGTCTTGCACATAAAATACATGTGCTACATTTAGTTTCCATACATCATGATCTGCACAAAATTCTGCTGATTATCTAAATAGTTTTTCAACTTATGAATAATTGTCCTTATCCCAATATATTTTTGCTTATGCCATTAATACAGGAATGAATTTCTCTAAACAATCATCAAATTCCTTAAGAGATTTCTTAATTCCTTCATTATCTCTATTCAATCTAGCATCTTGAATTGATTTTGTTATCCTTCTAAGAGTGTCTATATGTTTGTTAGCTAAAATCTAGAATTTTCTATATGATTCTTCTGGACTTGCAGCACTTAATATCAATGCATCCACAAATTCAAAATCATCTGTACTAATAGTCTTAAAAGTGAGATCAGCATTTTCAGCAAGAATATCAGCTGCCATATCAAAATAACTATATTTGCAATACAAGAGTAATAAATTAGGGAATGTTTCAGGTGGGAATGGAGGATTTTATAATAAATGATTTAACTTTTTAAATCCTTCAGCTGTTTTCTCTTCTATATTCATTAATGCTTGATTCATCAAAGTAACAGGATCTAATTCATCTTCTTCTCTTGGTGGCATATCTACTAATGCTTCTTTTGCTGCATCATAATTTTTAATTGAATATTCAATAGCTGCCTTTAAATTGAATGCTTCAATTAAAGCAGATTCTTTCAATGCTTAAGAATTACCTACACTTTTAACTTCAATTCCTTCAGCATTTGAACCTACTCCTAAATCTGGTCTTTCTCTTACTCCTCTCTCAATTATCTCTGCTATATATTTGAGAGATTAAGCCAATTATTTTTATTTGTAATAACAGAGAGCTATATTGTATGCTAATTCACAAGAATAACCAGTTAAATTCATTCCATCTTAAAATCTTTGTCTTGCCTCATCAAACTTATTCTCTTTGAATAATATGCATCCTTCATTAATTACTGAGTCTGGATCATCCATTTCATTTTATTTTAATAATGTCTTAGCATGTTGAAATTCACCCTTCTCATATCGAATCAAAGCTTGCAATTACACCATCTTGCCTTAATATTGTGGATTCTCAATTGAAGCACACACTTTTAATGCCTCATCATAAAGACCTATTTTTCAAAAACTTTCTTACTATCCTTATAATATGACTATGCCAAGTAAATCTTATAATCATCAATCTCAGGATAATACTTCACTAATTGTTCATAACTATTTTATTTAAACTATTTCATACATTCCAACAGCAGAAGTGAAATCTTAATTCATGTAATGGCAATATGCAAGTAAAGATAATGCTCTACTCTTTGGACAAAATTGCAACTCATAATTCAAATAATTTATAGCCTCCTTGTATTTTTGATCCTTAATAAGTGTATATATTATTTTTGTTCGCTATCCTTCAGCAATAGGTTAGACCGGTTGCATAATTTAATTTAAAGAATTATGAACAATAAACACTCACATTTATAGGGTTGGGAAGAATACTCCTATTCAAATACATATACAAATTAACTCAAATTTTTGAGTGAATCACTAAACTAAGTAAATACAGTACCAACTCATATCACTCATATCAACTCTAAGTTACATTAATCAGTCTCTCCAAAAAAGAATCGAATATTATAAAGTTACATCAAGAACTCTGTAGTTATTGACAAAGGCTATATATTATCATAGAAATAGCATTATTTACAAGGAAAATTTATAAAGAAGGCTTAATTTTTACCAAAGATATAATTAAAGCATAACTATATTGGACCCATTTTATAATAAATAAAAATCTACTAAAAAAATAAAAATATCATTAAAAATGATTCTATTATCAAATAAATAACAAGATGAGTTCAATGAAAATACTCTAAATTTTCATTTTGTTTAAATGATATAAAATATATATAATGATAAAATTATATTATATTTTCATAATGTGTTATTATTTGTATTATTCTATAATATTTCTATTCTTATCTTTATAAAAAATGATTTTTCATTTGAATTATTCATTTATAGTTTATCATATTAAAATATTATTTGTAATTTATATTAATATCTTGAAAATGAAATAATCATAAAAGGGAATTCTAAAGAAGGATACACAACATGATATAGATATGTATTGAAATGATTTTATTGTAGGAAGAAAGAATTGCATTGGGATGAATATACAATATAGTAAAGAATATTCTAATTTTATTAGATAATAAGATTTAGAAAGAGGCAATAAAACTAAAATTGATGAACCTAAAACACCTTATGAAGATGAAATTATACAATAAAATCAACAGGAAGATAAAATTGAAGTTGAAGATGAAATAGAACAAGATTTAATATAAGCACAATTAAATAAACAAAAATTGCAGCAAGTATAATCAAGTCCATTAAATGTAGTAACATTAATAGAAACTGGATATTGAAGAATTAAATAGAAGATTAAAAGAGGATTTAGAAAGAGAAAGAAAAAATATGGATGATGATTCTGCAGAAGAAGAAGAAAAAAGAAAAAAACATGAAGAATTTGTTAAAAAAAGAAAATAACACTATAATGAGAAGATTCTAATTAAAGAAGCAATGCATAAAAAATAGTTCGAAGACTAATGAAATATATTTATCATTTAATATAAATCAATTGGATAAAATCTGATTTCCAGATATATTGTACATGGTAATGTATTATGTTGAACCAGTTACAAATAATCTATATTATCCAATTGTTGTATGTAAGAGTATTGGATGGACTATTATAGTTAATTAAGTATTCAATTACACATTCAATTAAATGGTTTGAATGTAGTTTTCTGCATTTGATTAAGCTAATACTCTACCATATTAATCTTTTAAAATCAAAGAATATGAATCTAAAGCTGTAAGAGGAGTTAAAACAAATGTTACTATCTGGTTAAATGGTTGAGAACCAATTTCATAAGTATCATCACTTTAACAAATATCACTCTCTACTAGAAATGATGTATCTAACAAAACAGTCTTAGCATAACTACTCTAATAATACTCATATAAAGGATATGTTCTTGTAGTAATGCCATCATAATCTATGGTAACAGATTTTACTATCTTAGATCCATTAATATAATTTCCATTTAGATCAATGCTGTATCCATGAGCCCCTATTGGTCCTAATGGTCCCAACGGTCCTAAGGGTCCTAATGGTCCTATTGGACCTATTGCTGACCATAATCCAAAGGCTCTTAATTAGACAGCAAAATCATTAGTTTCAAATAAATTTTTTCCTGGATCTTATTAACCATAATATTATGTTGTTGCCAATGGACCTTTATAACCTAAGGGTCCATCCTTAGACAAAGGAGCTCCGTTTTAATATTGAGTCCATTGAAATAACTCAACTAAATTAGTAGGCAAATAGATTTTGTCTAAAAAGTTGGTCAAATACCAAATATGGTTGGACAAAGGTCCTAGCTTTGATAAAGGCCCATAAGGACCCAATGGTCCTAAATATCCAAGACAGCTTCTAGAACTCAAGTATTGATAGGGAGTTAGACCTGGAACCTTTGCTGGATCAATTTTTGGGCATACAGTTTAGAGATCCACATTTGATATAGAATTAGCTGTTGTTATGAGCATCTTTTAGTAATTATTACTCCAACCAGTGTTTGCATTATTGGTACAAGCATTAGTGATCATAATTAAGAGAGAGATTACAAACATAATGTTCTATGTTAAATAATATTCTTTATAGATATGGAAAGTATGTTTAAAAGTAATTAATAATCCAAATTATGATAAATAATGGGATTAATATATTGAATATAAATTTGATATTATTTATATATATTCGTATTATTATACTGTTGTATATAATCATTGACTAATCAAATAAAATTGAACTTACAAACGAGAAATTATTATATATTATGGATTACATATACATTAAACAACATCTTGATAATGATCCAAAAATGTAAAGATTTATTAGAAATCGTATTCTTTACTAAACATCTGATACATATCATTATGCAAATTATAAGAAAAGGATGAATCAATCATTTGATTAATCTATACATTAAACGACTTTACAAAAATATAATGACCTATCTTATCTTGTAATTGATAAATTAAGGCAATCTCCAACACGTAAATCTTACTATTCAAGACCAACATCAGCTACTTAAAGATCACCTTATATATTTTAGAGTAATTGCAAAATATTTATTACTAAGCCCTACAAACTTAAGAATCATAAGCAGTCAGGAATTTCAAAAGAAAACTCAACAGTAGTAAGAGATGTGCATAAAAGCAAAAAAAATAACCAATTGAATACACATGTAGACAATACAAATTTATATTATGAATTTGATTTAAATACTTATATTTATAATGTTTCATTCACCATTAACAAAAAAAGACTTAAGTTATAGTAACTATAAACAATATTTAGGTCTACAAAAATTCAAACAATATAATATGTTGATTACATGTTAAATAAAATAAAACAGAGATAAAAATTATGATGAAATCTGAAATTCTTATTTGATATTGTTATTTAAAATATGAGAATTCTTTAAAAGAAATAGACAAGCAATTATACATAAAAATAATTAATGATAAATTTGAATTAATATTTAAAATGAAAATTTGTAGAGACTATTGTTTAATATTAAATTCTTAGAATTATTTAATAGATATATCGCGATATTAGAAAAGGAATTTTATTTAGATATGTTACACTTATTATAATTGGTTGGTTTCATAAAAACATCATATTGTCACTTACAATATTATTAGTTTAGACCTACACTTACATCTATAAATTCTTTTTTTGTATAGTTTAAACACATTATTTTTCTTGATTGATTAATTATTCATATGTTTCAAGATATAATAATTGTTCTTCTATTTTCTCCATTTAAACCGAGATCATTTACTTTAAATTTTCATCCATTTTTTCAGTTTCCTAACTTTGAGTAACTTCAATATTAGGTAATTTAAGTTTATCTAATTATGATTTGAAACAAGCAACTCCTAATTGAATTGGATTACTCACATCATTATGAAAAGTAATGTGTTCCTTTAAATTATTATTTAAAATAAAATACTTTTTAAGGTTTTTTTGGTATGGAAGGTTCCTTATCCAAAGATGGAAATAAGTTGGAATAAGGTAATTACAAATACATTTTAACAATTTCAGTTAAAGATCGTTTTGTAAAATATTTTGCAATTTCATTCCATTTTTCTTTATGTTTATATACTAATTCTAATAATCTATATATTTCTTCTTAAGTCCATGGAGAGTATTTTTAAGTCTATTGTAATTATGCTAAGTATAATGTAAGAAATATTATATTTACAGAAATCTTCGTTTTTTAAAAATTTAGGATATTTTTTTTCAAGGAAACAATTATTACATAGCAATAATGGTTATAATTGAAATGATGCTAAATTTTCCTTCTTTTATTGATGGAATGGATAAGCCTTCATGTCACAAATATGACATCTATTTATTTATATGTTAATAATTCTTACTCATAATGAGGATCACTATGGAAATTGATTTGATTGCTTTGGAAGTTAAGCTTTACTCTTTCTAAGAAAGTGCCATTTTATTGATATACTTATCCTTAATTTGGAAGATTATTAGGATTATATTAAAAATTGATTAATCCCCAATGTTCTAAGAAGGTGTAGACTCTTAACAAAGATGAAGCATCTCCGCTAATAAAATTGAGACAATCAGTAAATTTAAGATATTTTGTTTAAGTGCTTATCCATTTCTATAAGATGCTATTCCTTATTTTAAGGTAAGTAAGGGGAGTCTTATAGTTACCCTTATAGTATGAATTGTCATTGTGAAAATGTTGATGGAAAAATTCTGGGAGGGAATCCTTTTCAATTTAATGAATGGAATCAATCTGAAACCAACGAGCAGGAGCTGGGATTATTGCTTCCCAATTCTGCAAAAACCAATCCTTCTAAAAGGTTGAAGTCCAATTATTACCTTGCTTTGTGTTGTTTCTTAAGTAATGTTAGTTGTGGTGTTTTCTTTTTTAACAGTTGGGGGAATTGGCTATGTTGAAGGCTTTTGAATCATCTTTCGTTATTCTGTTTGCACCTCTACTACTTCATACCCAGTTGACACTTTATGTAGTAAAATTGTAATTTGTGAATTTCTGCTTTCAGGTCTTCTGTTGTACATTCCTAAAAATAATAGAAGGTAAAAAATGAGCTTATAATAGAATGAGTGTTGGCAATCAGGAATATGTAAGAGGGAGTTAATCAATATGGAGATTCAAGGTCGATTCCAGTTGTTCCCTCCAGATCATAATCCTGTTACCTCATATACTCTAGAGACTCAAAATGTGTTCCAATTAGGTTGGAAAACATAATGAATTTCATCTAGAAAAGTATATTAAATTATTTATATCAAATATTTTACCTTTTTGAATCTAATTTGCTGAAATGTTTTGTTCTCTAAAAGAAAATAATTTATCTTTTTAAAAATCCAATAGAGAACTAAATATGCCAAGAAATTCAATATGAAAAATCAAATAGATCACCTTTTATTGTAGATATCATATAATCAACATATATAAATTACATTAATATAATAGTCTGTCTATCAAGATTAAAAAATATCTTGAAATAATTTAATAAAAATATTATAATAAGAAGATTCAGAAATTAAGGCAAGATAAAGATTTTTAATTTTTAAATTATCTTGATATAATGACAATTATATTACTTTATTTTTAATTTATCTTAAAATGAATCAAATCATAATTATCCAAATCTATATATAATTTAATTTAATTGCTTTCATGAATCTTATTTCATTTATATAGTGTTAAATTTATTAAAAAATACAACGTCTTTCTAAACAATAAGATCTGAATTAGAGTTAATTGAACTTGACATAATTATTCATTATGTAAATATGAAGAATTAATTCTATCATTTTTAACTATTAATGTATTAAATATATTTGTATATTATTAGATTAACTTAATGATATGCTAAAGATAATAATGAGTTTTTTATTAATCATTATATTTTTTATAACCTATTAAATCGATAAAAGAATTCAATATTTATTATAGTTTTATAATATATTATTAGAGTAAAGTTTTGGATATCAGACAAGTCATAAACATAAAATTATGAATTTACCGATAATTAATAATAGTTTTAATTGAAAGATAAAATTGACAATATATTTTGCCTTTTTTATTAATTAAGTTTCAAAAAGTATTTTTTATTTGAGCCAATTAACTAATACTTGTATTTAAAGAAATATGTACATAATAAATATTTAGTAAATCATAATTCTCTAATATATATTATGGCTCAATATTGTGCCTATAAAAGATAATTTTAGTTTTATTAGGAAGGCTTAAAAAAGAGATTCTACTATTAAAATTTATGATTTTACTTTAATTTAAAAGATTGCAACTCATTCTTGGATTCGATATCAAAATTCAATTACAATTTAAAACTAAATAATTTGGATATTAAATATAATGGAGATTAGAATTTAGAATAGTTTATTCATTGGTTAATTGATAATAAAATATTATTGAAACTACTTAGTTATTATGTATGCTTAAAGGATAAAAATAAAAAATTATTTATACTTAATAATAGTGAGAATCAAATAACATATTCTAAATATATAAATATTATGATATAATCTTCATTCTAATTTATATTTATTAAATTTGTTTTTTCTACATAAAATCAAACCATTTTTCTTTTACATAAAATATAAATTTAATATTTGGTTATTGAGAATTACTATTATAGTATCTTGATTTAATATTGAAAAGATTGTAATAATATTGATTAGTTAATTCAAAATGATAATAGACAATAACTTAATTAAATTGAATTATGCATTGTAACAAAATTTTAATAAATAGTTTTATCTTTAAAAAAAACTTAATATATTTTAAATCAATATAAGAGAAAAAATTAAATTTGATAAATATTATTCTACGATAAGATATGATTGAACATTGGTAATCAGTGTGATAATTTGAATAAATGAATAATTTATTATAGATTAATAATATATAAAACTAAAATGGGAAATAATTCTTGTTATTCCAAGAGTGGTATGCAGTCTACAATGTCTTAATTATTATGCGAATAGAAATTTAATGGATGTGATGTCATTTTAACAGCAGGAAATATAGAGAATGAGTTAGTAGATTGCATAGTTTAAATGACTGATCAGCAATTTTCAAATGTTTCCTAAAATGATAAACCATCATTTATACCAACAAATGGGAATTGCATTTTTGTAGGATCTACAAAAAGTAAATGCAAAAATTAAAAAATTAGAGAACAAAAAGAATTATATTTTAGCTGTTGTTTAAGATAATAATGAATTGTGTATCTAAGATTAGTTTGATGAAGAAAAATAATTAATTTATGAAAGCATTCAAAATTGTTTGAAAATGGTATTTATTAATGATAATAAGGCTAATACCAGATAAATAAGATCTATAGCATTTCCAGTATTCTAATCAAAAGATTACACAACATCTGCAACTATAATGATTATGGCTATAAAATTATATATTATTGAACAAAAGTTAAATTCAGTGACTAAAATTTTTATTTCATTAAATGTATGAATTTAATCCTTATAAATTTAATTTTAGCAAATAGAATAGGTGGCTAGTTTTAAATGGGTATTTTAGTAAATATTCGAACAATATAATTCAACATAATCAAAATCATATTCTAGTACAATAAATTCTACATTTATGGATGAATATAAATCAATAAGATTAATCTAATAAGTAGGTGTCAAAGAAAGTACTCCTTGATTTAATTAATTAATAATATAAAAATTTTAATGAAAATATAAAAATTCGTTTTCTATGCTGATTAATAAATTAAATGAAGATTATTGCATTTCTCTGTGTTGTGATTGCTTTTTCATCAGCAACTGAAGCCATAGATATCTTTAATACAGTACAAACTTTGTAATAGTTAGTTACCAAAAACAGATTTTGGAAAAACAATATTACAAACTGTCTAATTGGAATTATCAAATGGATCAGCAGTAGATTCTGTTGTTTAATCATTGAATGAAATATTGAAATCAGCTGAATAAGAAAAAGGAGCTATTTAAACAAATTTAAGAAATAGACAAACTTAATGTTAAACAAGATAAGATGATGCTTAAAGTATTATAGATAGAGCAAATGCCAAAAGAGCTGATGATGAAAGAAAATGTATTGATCCATTAATATGCTAGTACCTTTAATCAATGAAGAATTGATTAGTAAATAAGAATAAGCATTAGTAAAGGACTCTGAAGAATAAAGAAATAATGATAAATTGGCACTAATTACAGCTACAAGAGAATAATAAAAATAAGAATATTAAGATAGAAGAAATGAATTAACAAATTATGTTGCAGCATTAGGAGAAGCAAAATCAATTGTTTCTGGATTAGGTTCTGTTAGCTTTTTGCAAGTTAGTTCAAATGAACACTATTCTAAATTCAGTAAATATAATTAAATATTATTTTTAGAGGAAGCAAATCCAACACCTAGAGGTTATGGAATCATGGTTGAATTATTATTAAAAGCATCAACATAAGCTAAAACTCCAGAATAAGTTGAAAGAATAGTTGCTACAATATAAGGATTAATTGATTCTATTTATGAACTTTAAAAGTAAGAATTATTGGTTGATGATGCAAGAGAAGTTGAATTCATTAGATAAAGGTACTTTTTATTAATCTTATAGATAGAGAAATTTTACTCTTAGCTAATTAAACTTTGGCTGCATCAGTAGCATAATTGAAAGCTTAAGTCTTACATTTATAATAAGATATTGTTGAAGTAACAAATGATGTTAATACTAACAAATCAATTGCATCAATTAAAACTAAAGAACTTAATGATTGGATTAAAACTTGTTAAGATGAAGAGAAGAATCTTAGAGCCATTTTTGATAGTAGGTAATTCATTATTTATAATCTGTTAGAGTTGGATAAGTAGAAACAGTCAATTAAATACTCATAATATTCAATTCAGGTTTAAGTTAAGAATTAAGAAAATCAATTGCAGAAATATAACTAAATTGATAAAGCAAAATCAATATCATAAATAGGATTTATTCAACCTAAATTTTATCTCCAACCAGGAATGGCTCTTCTACCAGCTCCTAATAAATTTCCTCCAAAAGTATCTGCATATTTTCCTTGATCAATTTTTGGATCAAATTTTTATCTCTTTTATAATTCTGCTGCTTTAGTTGTCTCATTTAATTTTGATTCAACATAAGCAAATTTAATATATTTATCTTCTTCTCTTGCTTATTATTTAATTTCTTAATCAAATTATTTCTTTTATTTCTATTCAAGAATACTCTTCTTTTTTTCAATTAAATGATTTTCTTTCATTTTAATTCTTTCTATTGCTTCTTAACTAACATATCTTTTTGACATTGTTTCTATTTATTTTAATTCTTATTCTCTCTATTTTTCAATTAATTTCTATTCCTTATAATATTAAACTTATAATTTCTTTTCTTCTCTTTCCTTCTTTAACATTTCTGATTTCTATTTCTCAATATCTTTTTTTGTATCATACTCTATTTCATCTATTGCTTTCTATGTAACTCTCTTAATCTTCCATTATTTTATTTCTTCTTTTAATTTATCTCTCTCCTCTTTTGGAACCAAAGGCTTTTTTACTTATTTCTATTTTTCAATTTCTTATTATTATTATTCTTATTGTAATTGAATTTATTTATTTTCCTCCTTCTTTCTTTTATATTCTGTAAGTAATTCTTTCTTTTCATCTTCTAACTATTGTAATAAATTATAATTTTCTATTTATTCCATTAATTGATCCTCAGTTATAAATGGTATAGCCTTGAGACAATCATTAATGAAATTAGGAGAGATTTTACCTTTATGTTTAGTTCTTACTCTTAAAAATTCTCTATGATCTTCTGGTTCTAAGAGTTTAATTTAATCTATTTTTTCATCTATACAATCCACTTTTTATTTGATCAATCCTAATTCACTTATAGTTTCTTCATTATTTTGCATAGGCTTTCTTTTAATAATGGGTTGTTTTTGAACAACATCATAATTGTCCATTTTTTATTCAATTATTTTTAAATCATCTGTTAATGCCTCCTCTTATTATGCTAAATCATCAAATTAATATGACATTTTTGATTTGAAATCTGTTATTCTATTAATACATAGATATTGATCAATACTCTTTAGTAATATTGTTTGCCATGCTTTCAATTTTTTAATAATACTCATGACTGTTAGTGAACCCTTTCAACTCTTTGATATATCTCTATACATCATTTCTTAACAATCTCAAACTGGTCTTAGTATTATCCTTAAAGAATCACTTTAACACATTACCCTCTCTTTCTCTTCATCAAAATCATATTTTTCAATCATGTCATTCAAAATGAAAACCTCGTTCTTACTTGTACTAGTCTTACACATAGGTAATAGTTTAGACATATCCTTTATACTCAAGGATATCAGTTTAGCTTTACAGGATGCCAATTCTGATTTGCATTCTTGAAGCATTTATAAAATATTTGTAAATTGTAAAAATAACTCATATAACAAATCTAGACACAAACATGTATATTGATGATAATCCTCCTCTAGTGATTATATCTTGGAAATTGGGAAGTACAAGAACCTTAAATAATATCATGGCATAACTAATTTTATTTTTTGATTATAATAATCCTACTAAGAACAATGTTTCAAACTAATTTAATATAATATATGTACAAACTCTAAATTTGCAGTAATTCCTCTTAAAATAAATGTCCATGTAAATTCATCAGTTGTAGCATTTGGAATAAAAGTGAAGAGATGTTTCATTACACAATCCATCAATGCCCATCCTATTGCAATTGCAAATATTCTGCTTATTTTATCATCAATATTAGTCTTTTATTTTGATACTAAAATGATTCCATAACAATCAATCAAATCAAATAGTAATTTAATCTACAATTTAATTGTCATCCCTTACATGAATGAATTATTCTGTAATCACAGATAATGAGGCCAACAGAAACAATTTACAAAATTATGTTAACAAACATCCTAAAATGCTAATCAATACAGTCTTATAGGCTCCTTGTTCAGCACTAGAATAAATAAGTATATCTTACAGTGATCTTGCTTTGTATACAACAAAGAAAGGTCCAAATGCTAACAAAAGACAATTTATCAAATGTGAGAATGCCATTAAATGTAATAATTATTTGATTTAAAGATTACTAAATTAGTCACTTTACAAGTACAAGATAAACCTAATAAGAAGCGTAAACATTTCAATTAAAATCGTATGTCTCTTTGGAGTAGTTTTCATGATATTTGGACTCCAAGTGGAAGACAATTTAATTTCTAACCATTTGAATAATAAGAATTCATTAAAGTATAAACTAATCAGAAGAGTAATTCACTCTCAAGATAAATATCTCAAATTTAGTAGAGCATAGATAATAAATAAAAAATATTAGAAGAAACATATTTACCTAAAAAAGTTAGAACTATTACTACTCAAGTTTAAATTAAAGAAGCCCCCCAAATAAAGACTCTTTCTACTTTTAATTATAAAAGAAGTGAATCTCGTATTTAAACATCAAGAACACAATCAGCTACACCAATGATGAGAAGATCTAAAAAACACCAAAAAATAATTGAAATTAAAGATACTATAGGATTATAGATAGAAAAATGCTTTTTATATGATCGTTATCCAAAAGAGAAAATTAAATTAGACTATACATTTGNGATGCCAATTCTGATTTGCATTCTTGAAGCATTTATAAAATATTTGTAAATTGTAAAAATAACTCATATAACAAATCTAGACACAAACATGTATATTGATGATAATCCTCCTCTAGTGATTATATCTTGGAAATTGGGAAGTACAAGAACCTTAAATAATATCATGGCATAACTAATTTTATTTTTTGATTATAATAATCCTACTAAGAACAATGTTTCAAACTAATTTAATATAATATATGTACAAACTCTAAATTTGCAGTAATTCCTCTTAAAATAAATGTCCATGTAAATTCATCAGTTGTAGCATTTGGAATAAAAGTGAAGAGATGTTTCATTACACAATCCATCAATGCCCATCCTATTGCAATTGCAAATATTCTGCTTATTTTATCATCAATATTAGTCTTTTATTTTGATACTAAAATGATTCCATAACAATCAATCAAATCAAATAGTAATTTAATCTACAATTTAATTGTCATCCCTTACATGAATGAATTATTCTGTAATCACAGATAATGAGGCCAACAGAAACAATTTACAAAATTATGTTAACAAACATCCTAAAATGCTAATCAATACAGTCTTATAGGCTCCTTGTTCAGCACTAGAATAAATAAGTATATCTTACAGTGATCTTGCTTTGTATACAACAAAGAAAGGTCCAAATGCTAACAAAAGACAATTTATCAAATGTGAGAATGCCATTAAATGTAATAATTATTTGATTTAAAGATTACTAAATTAGTCACTTTACAAGTACAAGATAAACCTAATAAGAAGCGTAAACATTTCAATTAAAATCGTATGTCTCTTTGGAGTAGTTTTCATGATATTTGGACTCCAAGTGGAAGACAATTTAATTTCTAACCATTTGAATAATAAGAATTCATTAAAGTATAAACTAATCAGAAGAGTAATTCACTCTCAAGATAAATATCTCAAATTTAGTAGAGCATAGATAATAAATAAAAAATATTAGAAGAAACATATTTACCTAAAAAAGTTAGAACTATTACTACTCAAGTTTAAATTAAAGAAGCCCCCCAAATAAAGACTCTTTCTACTTTTAATTATAAAAGAAGTGAATCTCGTATTTAAACATCAAGAACACAATCAGCTACACCAATGATGAGAAGATCTAAAAAACACCAAAAAATAATTGAAATTAAAGATACTATAGGATTATAGATAGAAAAATGCTTTTTATATGATCGTTATCCAAAAGAGAAAATTAAATTAGACTATACATTTGTACCATAACCAAGATAGAAATCAAATGTAGAATCATCACGTTATCATTATAATAAAGTTGAATATAAACATTCTATCACTCTAGCTAAATGGGATTAAAGTGAAAAATCAGACGAATTATTTTGATAATTTCTGTTATAAAAAAGTATATAATCCTTTACTTTATTAAATTATGTTAATTAACAAGCTTCCTTTGTTAGAATAAACATAGTCTCCTAAACCATCCCATAAAACTAAATTAAACTTTGAGAATACAAGTTATTTATAAGGAGAGAAGTTTTATAAATAGCCTCTTGTTTAAAAACAAAAGAGATAATTAAGCATAATGAAATCTCAAAACGAGATAAAAAAATAAATTCAAAGTATAACTGATGATTCAGTCTCAAAACGAATTCAATAACCTAAAACATAATTAGAATTCCAAACAATAGACAAATTATAGCTAGAATTTGAAACAAAATATATAGAACAAGTAATTTATGTTTTGGGGTTATTTAGAATAGAGTTATAGATGATTTGAAATTAGAAAATATAAAATTAAAAATGCAGTTAGAAGAATAAGAATAATAAATTATTTATCTAAAAATAATAAATAGTGATTTGAGATAATAGATAGAAATCTCATCTACAGATATCTAAATAAAAAAAATAGAATAAGAATATAAAGATACCTATAGAAGAATGGATGAAACTTTAAGAAAGGCTATAGATGAGAATTATGAAAGTTAAATTAAGATGAAGAATTTATAAATAAAATCATAGTAATTAGAGTAATTCACTGTATTAAATATATTAAAAATATTATAGTTTATGTTTAAATAATAATTAACATGTAAATTTTGTAGAAAAGAATTAAATAATACAATTACAGTAATCCCATGTGCTCATAATTATTGTTAAAGATGTGTTTCTGGTTATGTTGGTAGATGTTTTGCATGTAATGATGATGTAAAATCTATTTATTATGTAATAGAATAAAGTATAGGCTACTTATCATAATGAATATATGAGTGATCTAATAAACATGTATAAAATATTTGAGAATATTTTGAGTTTATTGAGAAATTGATTATAATTATATAAAATGTAAAAATTTATATAAAGTGAATGATAAAAAAATAAGATTTGTTAATTGATTGTTAAATAATATAAATGAAGTCAAAGGTGTAGTAAGCCTTAGTAGTATTCACTGTAGACATCGTGAAGTTGCTATTCAATTCTTTGATGGCATCTTTCGAATTCTCTATCATTTGTATTTCCTTTATAGCATTCTAATGCTGATTTTTCGATAAATAACATCTTCATAGAGAGATATTTAGCAATATTGTCTATTTTACCTTCATGTCTTTCCATGCCTACATTAATTTAGAAATTATACAAGTAGCAAATAATTCAAAAGTCTTAGCATTTCTGAGACAGGTTTCCTTATGTTTTTCATTGAGGTCTTATTGTTTAAACATTTAATCAAGTGAAGTTTTGCTGGCTTCTTAGAAATTATTGAAATCACTTTCGAATTACTATTTCCTTTACATTTTTTTTAGTGTATTTAATATTGTTTTGAATAAATAAGATATTGTTAGGTTTTGAATTATAATATTTCATCATTAAAATATATTATTTTCAAAATCTTGTGATTCATTATGCAATAACTTATTCCGTCATTTATTAATTTTATTTATATATATATATATAATAATATATGAAATGAATAAGAAATTCCTCAATTCTTAATTAAATTGAAATATTATAATGTATATAAATATGAATGACATTATATAAATTTAGAATAATTATATATATATATATATCAGTTTTGAGTTTGAATTGTTTGTTAAGAATGAGATCTTTAAGTTTTAAGAATTATTATTTCTAAAATTGAATCAATAAAGGCAAGAACAATAAAGGAGATGGTCCAAGTTAAATCGATTTAAAATAAAAAGAGAATAGAAATGTCAAATCCAAAGCTAATGAATAATTATAGAATTTGAATCCATTTCCTGTTTGATTGAAAAAATCTAAATATCCAAACAGCAACTAAATCAATTAATACACATAAAGCAGGATGTAATTCTAAAAGTAAAAAACAACCAATCAATCCTTAAGAAATTACACATCTAATTAATACTCTATAAACAGTATTAATATAAAAATAATTTTATCTATTATCTTAATTTTATTTGATTTCTCCTAAAAATTGAATTTCACTTTATCTAACAGAATCTGGTAATTCTTATAATGATGGAATAGTAGGTAAATTATTTGGTATATGATGATGAAATTATTGAGTTTCAATTCTATTATTTGTTTTAATTATTTGGTAGCCAGAGTTTTTTCTTATTAATGTAGGTGTTTTAAGAATATTTCTAGCTGGAGACACTGCAGCATTTGATTTGATACTGTTTCTACCTTATTAATTGGTTTCAGGTACTGACTCTATTGTAAATGTTCCTTTTTTTTAAAGTGTTCTATGTAAACGTTGAGTATTTTATAATGTGATAATGTGATGATCATCAGATTAAGCAGAATGTTTTGAAGATCTGTGAGTTGAATGATGTGTTCTACTTGTTGGAACTGTTTTCATTATATTAGATGGTGTTATTGCTGATGCATTAGTTATATTCTTCTTTCTATACATTCTACATAGTAAGTATAATTGAATTAAGAGAATGAAACCAGCAAATCCTAAGTGATAATATATGAAGACCATCAAATTTTAATATTAATTTAACTTTTTAATATCTATTTTTAGATTTTAAGCATTGATGTTTTCAATTGTCTTTTCTTTTTATAAGGAATACAAATAATTAAATCTATATACATGAAAAATAAAAAATAAAAAGTGAAATTATATAATATGAATATGTGGTTATCAAAACTACTAATTAGAGTCAACAATCAGAAACTTCATCTTATAAATCCATTGAAGGTTCATCATAAGATTTAAAATTGACAAAAAATCCATCTGTAGATCTATCAATAGATGGAATATCAACTGTAGTATGAAAAGTAAATTTGAATTCTTCAGAATAATGTTATTCCAAGATTTCTTTTGTACTAGATGAAACCTACAATTTTCCTTTTTCACCTTTTGATTCCATTTTATTTGCTACAAGTACATCAGGTCCATAAATATCATATCTAACTATTTCTGTACCTAAAACTCCACCAATAATTGAACCTGTATGAATACCTATCCTCATATCTAATCCTTAAAAATTTATATGATCTCTAACACGTTTGATAATATTAATCATCTCAAATCCTAATTCTACAGTATTCTTAGCTTCCTATGCAATATTTCTATCTTTTGCATCTAACATACCCATAACTACATAACAATCACCTATTGTATACAATTTATAGACTGATTTTTCTTAACAACATTTATCAAATTCAGTAAATAGATTTCTCAACATAAATACAACTTATTCTGGTGGAACTTTACTTGAATATTCTGTAAATCCTGCTATATCTGCAAAAAGTAATGTTACATTATCATAACTATCCTTTAAAACAGCCCTTTATTATTGAAATTTTAGAAATTATTCTAACATATGTCTAGGTAATTAATGTTTAACCAATTAATCTAATTGTTAATGTTTTGCTTTTAATTTGCATTTATTATTATACATCTAAACATTCTTATTGAATTTATAAATTTGATTAGAAATGAAAATCAATTATAAAATGATAGCATAATAAATTAAACTCTTCTCCCAATTCTTAACAAGTACAACAATTAAATTAACTGATATCATAGATATACTTTCTATAACCTTATATTTCATTTTGATTATTGGATTTAATTATGTCATGAAGGATAAGAATACTCCTACTGCAATACAAATTTCTCCAACTATAAAACTTTAATATGAGAATATATGTATGATCCACCATACCATAGTTATAATATAACTGTATATAAAGTATGTTTCTTTGAATACTCTTTCTCTATATTATTTCATTAACAATAGAATTAGAAATCCCGTTTTTATTGTAACAATTAGATATCCAAAACTCAAATTAATAAACCATGTATATTAGTTTTCAAAAATCTATGAAATTAGAATTGTAGATGTATTTTATACTAATAATAATATAGCTACTCCAGCTTTCAATAATATCACTAATAAAGCATTTTTTTTAGTTAATTCTTTATAAAAATCTTCAATATGTTAATGATCTACATCAGGATGAAAATCTAAGAATAATTTCTTTTTATCTAATATAAGAACATCACATTCTTTAAATTCATCTTCATTTTAATTTAACTATTTTAATTTCTCTTTCTCAATTTCTCCATTTAAAAAATCAAAATTTTCATCAACTAATAAATTCTCTTTTCCTAATTTAATTTCTATTGCTTCAATTAAATTAGCACCTTCAATAGAGAATTTCTATCCAATAGGATTTGCATGTTCACTATCACCATGTGATTATTATTATTAATGAGCATCTACATTTAAACTAGATTTGTGTTATAATTTTGGATTATTTTATTTCAAATGAGGTAATACAAGAGTTGGTTTTCTCTTTATTTTTTTATCTCTATTAAATCTAGCAGGATTATCAATAGCAGTTACTGAATTTGAAGGATAATTATTAGTATTCTATTTTTAAGATTTATTCTTATTTCTCAAATTCTTTGTAATTTATTATTCAGATAAAATGTAAGTAGTAATTGAACCCTTTCCCTTAGCATCTACAATGTCTTCTGTAAATATAAAATCCTATGATCCACTAACTAATCTAAAAGCTTACTCTGATATTTTAATTTAACCATCTTAACCAGTTGAACAAACTCTAGAAGTAGTATTGACAGTATCTCCAATTAAAGAAAATTAAGGTTTATGATAACCAATGACACCAGCAATTACATTCCCATAATGTACACCAATCTTTACAATAATCTCTTCAGATGTACCAAAATTTTATTATTAAGCAAATCTTCTCATTTCAAATGCTACTTGAATTGTTCTTAAAACAGGATTAACATTGCTTTAAGTTGATATATTTTTAAGTCCTGCTGCTGCCATATATGTTTTACCAACAGTTTCTATTTTCTATAATCCATATTGACTACATAATGAATCATATTATCTAAATAAGATATCTAAAAGATGGATAACATTTTCCTTCTCAGTCTTAATTATTTTATCAAATTAACATATATCACAAAATAGAATTGCCACTTCTCCTTAATTCTCTTAAATATCAAATTCTCCTTTCTAATTAATCATATTTCTTATAAATCTAGGCATCAAAATACTAAGTGTATCACTAATAGAATTGGTTTATTGATCAAGAGTCAACATTTAAATGAATTCTTCTCTAGAATTTCTTTAAATTCTAAGATGCATTCCACTTGATAAAGTTGTTTACATTAAAGCAATTAGATAATAATTCAACATAATATAATTATTGAAATTCTCATCAGTTGTTGTATTATTAGAACTGAATCTAATAATAAAACTTATATTGACAACAAAACAATAAAAAATAATTGTTAAAGGTCTATCATCAATAAGTGGTTATAACATGAATAATTACATTATTAACATATCTGTTAATTCATTATTATTATCTTAATAGAAATAGGCATCATAAATAAGTTTATATATTAATCTACAAGTTATCAATATTTTACTAATTCTAAAATGATACTTTTTAAAAGCAACTGTGTATATAAATAAAGCCATTAATACTTAAGCTGCATTATATCCAAATGTGAAATACAGAAACCATGTATAATCTACATCAGTATTTATCAACCAAATTTATACTAAAATTGCTCCTTCTACTAACATCCAACTTAATGGATAGTAGAGTCTATAATATTCAATTATAGATGGTAATTCATTTAATTAATATTTAATTTCCAATTACATATTCTTAAATGTTTGTGTTATTTTATTAATTTTTGTAGTTTTTACACTTAATACAATTCCAGATAATACTTACTTTATTATAGGATCAATCTCTTCTTCATTTTTAAATAACTTTAATACATATTTCTATATATTTATTACTATATTTTCTTTCTTTCTTTTTTAATTGTAAATTTAAATTGGTTTAATTTTATTGTTAATTTCTATTTGATCTTCAGGTGTATATGTATGATTGTACATATAAATTGAATGAAATTGAGTCAAAATCTTTTAAAAACAAAAAAACATTAACTATATTGCTATTATAAAGAGAATAGATTATAAAGATAATACAAATTAGAATAATTCTCCATATTAATAATCAAAATAATCTAAATAACCTAAAGTACATAATCCAAAATAAGCAATAGGTAGAATTATATATTAATAAATATTTGCATGAGTCAGTAATTTAGTTAAATCCAATAAAAGTATAATAACAAACTATTAAATAGATTTCATTTATTCATCAAAACTATATCCATTATTACTTTTTAAATCCATATTCTGTAGAGTCACAGAAATAATAAGAGCTTCAAATGCTGAATACAATATCACTTTATAAAAGAACAACCAATATCTCATTTATCTAAAATCCAATTGATTTTGATTATAAAAAAATACTAATTAATTCTTTATGCTGTTTACTTTCTCTTCTTTTTAAGTTAAACGTTAAAAAAACATTGAAAAACAAGGGATAATATAAAGTAAACTTTAAAAGATATCTAAAGGTGGATAAAATGTTATTCCAGTGAATAATATCTAGAAAAATAGAGTAAAACATAGAAGATAACTTCTATAAAAGGAGAATGTTATAATATTCTCTAATAATTCAGCAGATTATCTACTTTCATTTAATACTAGACTAATAAGATTTTTAAAATCTTTTACTATGATATCTGCCATTCCAATATAAGGAATTGTCTTATACTAATGTTCTAATTTTAAATTGATTTTTTACTTATAATATTGTTAATGTTCTTTCCACTCACCTATTATACTTTTGAACTCTTTTGTTCCTTTTTGCCTCTCTATAATTATTCCATCTTTTCTATTGTTGTTTTTTATAATTGTCTTTCACTCTGTAATTAAATTGCAAAATCTGAATAAGCCATCATTTGACTATCATTAATTTCATCTCCAATAACTAATATTTTTCTTCTCCATACCTACTTCTCTTATAAGATTCTACCCAATATAGCTTTCTAAGATTTAGACATTCTATATCCAACAACAGAAGTTGAAAAAGCTATTATAAATGATAAATGATTAAACAAAGAATTGTCTTATGATATTTTCTCTAAAGTATCACCATGTATAAGAATTGAAAATGGTTTAATTTTTTATTAAGATGTTGTTAATCCAGGCAATAAACCTTTGGTACTTTGTCTTCTAGCATTTGAATGAATTGATCTTCTTTTTTGATTAGGACTTAATACTAATCGTTCTGTTGATCTTTTTTCAACACTTATAGAATCATCTTTTAAATGTTTAATTTGATTATTATATAACCATTAAATCTATTATTTAATTTATAGATTGACTTCTTATTGATCAAAATGTATAATAGGAATTAGATCCTTAAGAATTTCAGTCTTATAGGCAATAGGTAATACTTTATCTAAAGTATCACCACTTGCTATCCAAATGATCATATCTGCTGCTAAAAAGTTTTTAATTACAACTGAAATTGATTTTCTTAATTTCTCTCTTATTCCAATAACTAAACATAATTCATATGCTCTTGGTTATGATTTTAATTCTTAAATTGGATTTTTGA